GAAAGCAGGTGGAGACCCCACGCCGTCCATGTCCGCCGCCCGAGTCATCGTCGCCAACGAGGATCACGCTGAATTTGCGCAGCTCAAGAAACGATGTACGTGATCCACCCAACCCCCTACTCCTATCTTCATTTCATTCTTGCCACACCCATTCATTCCCCCCTGTCTACCCAAACACGCCAACTTTATTCCTCAAATCACCGATGAATAGCCTCGACCAACGTTTTTCACTGCACCACCCATCGCACTTCACAACTTTCTCTTCGTGAACTCTAACAGAAAACTTAACCCCTTTGCTAGATGAGCATTCTGTGAACACGTACGTCGAGTCCCCGTCTTGGATCGAGAGATGTCTGGTCAAGGGATACTATTTTCACGATCCGTTGCAAAAGGCGCCCATGGGTGGGCGAAAGCCTGGTGCAGAGTAAGTCCATCACTCGGTGGGTTTACTAACTTCCGGATATTCGCCTAACGCACCAATCATTTGTAGCCGCAATGACTTTACGACCGAAGACGATACGCGTCTTGCGCAGTTCATTGCAAAACGTATACCAAACAAGTCCGAGGGCGGAAGAACAGGGAATAACCTGTACAAAGACCTCTGTGATAGGGTAAGCGCATGCTTTTGTGTCCCACTTATGTTTGATCACAATCATTTGATGAACCCAAAAGACAGACATTTATCCATGGGCTGCGGGGCACACCTGGCAGTCCTGGCGGAACCGTTACCGCAAAAGGCAAGAATACTTTGACCCAATCATCGACGATTACGCTGCAAAGCGCCAACGTACCGGTGACAGCAAGGTTTGTCCATCTCTTCACTCGCTCCTTTTGTATCCCCGTCTGGTCAGCAGACATAAAAAGCATTTTATCTTCCCTCCTTCTAATTCACATCACACTTGTACTGTGCCGCTTTCGGAGATATATCCGATTTTTAAGTTCGCTTGCCTGTATGCGGGATTTTCGCTCCTAGCCTGCCGTGACTGCCAACCACCACGTCATACGTTGCGGTGTGTTTCCAACCCACATTTTTTTGGCCATTCGGTCAGGTCTAGCCATCTAACGATGATGTCGCATTTCTGTGGCTTTCCATCTCGTTTAATCCAACCCCTGATCTCATTCCAACGTCATCTCCCTAGAAATTTTTAAGTTGCAGAACCATAACTGAAGGGATTTCATTTTTAATTATTGTCTAGGGAGAGTATGGGTACTCCCGTGGCAAGAAACGGACAACGCGAGAAGACTCCCCTACATCTGTCTTCGCCGATGACGCCCGGGACAAGAGGCGCCGTTCGACCAAGGAAGAGGCCATAGAAAATAAACGCGGTCAGGTGAGTAAGGCTTCGTGAAATATGAACAAAATGAGTGCGTTCTCATACCTTCGGTCATTATAATAGAACAGCAGCACTGTATCAACATCCACGAACAACCCGAGACGTAAACGACCGATTCCGAAAGAACCTGGCTCTTCATCTCAAGAACGGTCCCGGACATCAGGTACTAGTGCGCAAAGAAGCAACGCGACCTCAGCGCGCCTTGGCCACGCGGTAGAAGACACGGCCGACGGGGCTCGTGGCTCGGGGGGCGATCAGATCGAATACAACCCGTCGGCCGCCGCTGCCCGTGTGGAACCGAGCGAGTCGGCACCTGCGATGGACATGTTCGCGCCCGATCCTGATGCCAACAATAGTAACGTGAGCGGACACGCGCCCGTGTCAGGTGGCGGGCTCGATCTCTCTAGTACGTATTACGGTTACAACGAGTTGGATCGAGATGTACACGACAAAGCGCTAGATCTTGGTCTGAGGTAAGTGAGCGGCGGTGAATGGAGGTATTGAATGAGCGAGGCTGATATGACTGGTTCTCGTACAGCGATTATCTCGCAGGTGGCTTTACTTCGACGTGGTAGCAAGGTCGCGTGAGTGCTGTAGGGATTGTATACTGGACGTAAAAGGGTTGGCGTCATATCACAGCGCTGTTTCAGCATCTATGCGTATGGTATCTCATCCATCGCGGGTTTAGTTCGCCACCTATATTACTTGAAATTGCTGGATATAATATCAAGGTTGCGCTGTATTCGTGTGTGATGACCTCCAGGATTAGGTTCGTACATATAAAGGTTGGTACGATGCGGTATATGCGCTGGCATTTACTAGACTTCGTGGATAAATGCGTAGAAGAACTGCCTTATTTGAACAATTTTGATGCTAGAATACGACGAAAGAAAGGGATACAGCGTTACAAAGCAATGTATACAAAATCATGGACAGAAACAATAAAAACGTGTAGCATTGGATCATGGGACCACAGACCACGAGCATGGGATTGTTATGCTTTGAGATACAGCGACAAAAGAATGTGGAAGTATGCACGGACTAAGCATATCATAAGTGCGTACCAAAGCCAGAAAAAGTAGACGGTGTACACCGTCTGAAACCATAAAACATCTTGCTGATCAGCTGAACTCTTTAGGCTCCTCCTTGAAGTAGTTATCGGAGAGTGCGCCTGGGATTAATTCCTCCCCGATGTACTTCTCTAGTCCGAAGTGAGCCATAGTCTCTTGTACCGCTTGTTCATTCCACTCTCCTTGAGCGATCGATGCCGGCGAAGGAGTAGGCGGTAGCGAGCTGAAAATGAGGCGAGCGACCTTGACCTGTGCAAAAATGTCAGACCGCAACGTCCGAGGCGAAAGCATGTGAATGACCGACCTGCTCCAGATAGTCGGCTACGTCCGGCGGACGGAGCTTAGGTTCCTCCTCCAGCATGCGTTCAATAGACCCATGCTTTTGCATGAGGCGATAAGCAGTGTTGGGTCCGATCTTCTTGACTCGCCTAACAAAGTCTGTGCCCATCAGGATCGCTGCGTCCACAAAGGCAGATCGACTCAAGTCGAGGCTGGTCTCTGTTGAAGGCGGAATTATCTGCAATGGTACTTTTCTGTTGGTCATGTGGCGCAAGAGAGGGGCGTTGTACATGAGGACGTCCTAAATCCAGGGGGGAACTTAGCACCGACTATGCAACGGTGAAGGATGGACGTACAGTGTCTTCGCTTCCGACAAGATCGGCGAGGCCGTTGATGACAAGGCTCGAAGCGAGCGCCTCTGCCTCATAATTCATTGGGCTCTCGATGCACGGCACGCCCATTGCTTCGAGTATGAGTCGAGACTCAGTGTAAGTCGCAGTAGTAGGGGGGCTTGAACGACGCATTAGCGATGCGACCATGTGACCAGATTGCTCCTCCAGTGTGGCGGCCCATTCGCTAATCGGCGCAGTTTCGTCTCCCTGTTGTTCGGCTACTTGTTCGATCTCTTGCTCAGCAGACTCTGGTTCAGGTTCGTCTTTAGGTAGCTCCACAGACGCAAGTTGTTTGGCTTGTTCTACAACGCGAGCAACGTCGACTTCAGCTTCATTTGACTTGGGCACAATCTGCTCCCATAGCTTAGACTCCTCCTGAGTGTATTTGAGCTGGACTCTTGAGATCGGAACGCTGGATTGATTCGCAGCTTCAGGTTCGTCAGACCATGCTGGGATGAATCCGTCGGCGCCAGTCGTACTTGTCCTAGCGTAATGTTCATGAAGATGACGGATCACTTTAGAAAGGTAATGGCTGTCATTGACGCCAGCAGGAAAATCGAGTTCGGATTTCGCTTGCTCCTAAGAATGCACACTTTGAGAGATAGAATCATTATCATGGCTCACAACACTTGCCTGTTTATCCGTGGTAGCTTGGTCGTCCCCAGCATCGGGCCCTGACGCCGCAGAATCTTTGGATAGGGCAAGATCGGAGAGCTGAGCGACCAAAGAAGCATCCCGGTGAGTCGTCGGCTTGGCAGAGATCTTAGGGGCTGCATAAGATTCCAGCGGATCCAGTACCATATCTTGCTTCATAGGTATTATTCCGCTAGGAAGGGCAGCTTGCTCATCAAAGTTGGGAGTTACGCTTTCGGAAGATGACTCATTCCGTGCTGAACCAGGCGACGTTGTGAAGACGTTGTCTAAAGAGTGATTTATGGCGCTAGACTTTTCGCCGACAGCAGAGCTCGGAGGGACAACAGAGGAACTCCTATCGTTACGAGAGTTTCGGCAGATAGCAGTTCCACTAGAAGTACCGGTAGCCACTGATGAAGTGGAATCTGGTACCAATGTCCCAGATTCTTCCACGGGCAGAAAAGGCTCTGGAAGTTGTTCGAGTATGTTGTTCGCGGATCCGACTAAAGCGTCTTGCTGAGTGGTAGCTGCAGATAGATCTAAAGCTAGAGTAGCATTGGCTTGTTTGTCCTCCAATTTTGGTGGCAAAGACTGCCCTGATTGATCTTTCAAGCTGTTGAGGACAGCCTGTTGCTGAGTTTTAGACAGAGACTCTAAGCCTTGCAAAGCCTCAGTAAGAGAAAGCAGTCGTTCGTGGCGAGACTTTTCCCAGGCACCACGAACTTGGGCCTGAAGGCGCATTTGTTTTCGACGTTCCAGCTGAGATCAAGTCACGACCAGGCGCTTCTTTGACAATCCTCAAGACTTACTTCATTTCGCTTTGCGGGTACCCTATGTCTACCATCGAAAACACATATGATCTTGATACCGTGTTGACGCAACTCTGCGATCAGTTGGTGCCATCCAAGGACATGTCGGCATGGCCGGGGGTCGGGAGTAAAATGCAGACGCTGGGTGACGAGAGTTGCATCTCTGAAAATCAAGGAGCAGTTGATTTGGGTATTGATATTATGACCTTGAGAACACTCACACCGCAATGGTTTTCCCTTCCAGCGCGTGGAATCGGTTTGGAATGCTTTCAATAACCTGGGGACTTAAGAAAAAATCGTAGTTAGTCGAAAGCTTGGCGGGTGAGCTACAAAGCAGGTACCATTTTTTCAATAGGAATGGTACTATGCCCAGTACGCCCATGGGTAAGACCAAGATTGGTGGTAGGCGCCCGGAAGACCATAATGTAATCTGGCCTTCTAGTCCAAAATGACTGATCAGATACTGCCCCTCGATTAGCATAGGTTCCTATGGTCTAGTGGTTATGACGCTTCGTTGTGGTCTACGAGGTTCGGACTCCGAAGCAGCCCGCGTTCGATTCGCGGTGGGGACACTTTTTGAATTCTACACTAAAGACGAGACGCAACGCAGGAAGACCAAACAACAAGCATAAAACTACACCATTACTGGCTCTGAGGGATAATCGATACGTTCAACTAAGACAACAAAACTGGGATGCTCAGTGCCACGAAAGCTGACATTGTCGCTACATATTGCAGAATAATAATCATTGAGGACATGTGCTGGAGAAATGAATGTTCTGGTGATCGAAGCAAGGAGGAATGCTGCGAGCATTGATTAGCAAGTCGCAGCCACATGAGACTGAGCACTCACCATAGATATCATAGCGCCTTTCACGCGATTACACACTCGCGCCCCAAGTCGTTGTTCGCAGTGTTAACATGGAACGCCATGGGATTCATATCTAGGAATGTCGTACGGGCAACATTGTCGTCCAATTGATAGGCGGACAACGCCCCTCTTTCAGATCGCCCGACGTAGCCTACCATCATTTTATGAGGCGCTTGACGGTTCACGACTTCACATTCATCCATTGATGGATCCAAGGTTAGCTGGCTCGGCCCAAGCAGAAACGCTCGGTATTCAAATACGAGAGTCGACCGGTTACCTTCATGGACGAACGCGAGCAAACGTCAGTGAGAACATAGAGTGCAGAGCGGACGGCATACCCTTGAGCAGGGGCTGAATAAGGGGATTGAAAGCCTGAGATAGTAACGTGCCGGGAGGAAACCTTTGTGCAACTGTGTATCTCTGCCGATAGAGTGCTTCGCCATTCCGCTCCGATACATCTCGGGCCGGCTCAAAAAGCTTGTCTGCAAAGACTTCACCCGTCGAGGACTCTCGAAAGAACGAGAGCCGGGCACTGGGGATAGGACAGACGCTGACCGGAGCGTCCGAGGTTGGGTAGACGCTGTGCACTCGAATTTCGATGAAGCCGTCCAGGGGAGTCTCGCTCATGAAGTGCTGAAGCAAAGCATCGGTGGACCGAAATGACGTGGCGAGATCCAGCCGGTAAAGCATACGGCGATAGTCTTTCATCGTGTCTAAGTCTTCCAGACTCTAAGATAACGCAAAGTGGTAGGGGGAGGAGACAGCAATGGGGGTGAGTGCCCTTCAGTCTATTTAAGGACTTTCCGCCTTACCACTCGGGGACCCAAACGTGCCACAGCATTTAGCGAAGGCGATAATCCAAGCTGCGGGATTACCTGTGATTGTGCGGACATGACACGCATATACTAGTAGGTTCCCTCGAGACGATATGATAGAGAGGACAGGCAAGAGCCAGAAGGAGTCGTCGCTGAGAACAAAAACGATTATTCGGCTCCGAGTATGCGGAGAGCGACACTGTCAAGCAGACTTGATGGATGACGGATTACGTGTACGGAGGGCTTAAATTCAGTTTGCAACTGAATGAAAGCTTAAGTTCGCTCATCATGCTATATAGCCTTACACTGCTATATTAACAGTAGCATATCTAAGAATTTTAATGTAATACTTGATCGCAATCACAGAGTAAGGGGAATTTGTATTCTCAGTCCTGAAATCAAATCCATTTTCGTCGCGGAACATCGACGTGTGGCACAATCAGGCTCGGCCCAAACACACGCATTTCGACCTAAACCCATCCGTGAGATATGGTCGTTTATCACGCCAGACCAACATGAGAGAATGAGTTACTCTATCCTTGATTGAGTCGTTCCGGATGAACATTGACAAAATTCCCACAACCTATTGGCAAGGCAAGAACCAGACTCCGTCGGTATAGTAAGATTATTTCAAACACCTCACGTGGAACCGAGATAGCTGAACAATGGCTTTCAGACAGGCCACGGAGATTATATGGTATGTACCCTTCATCTTGAATATTATTCCGCTCCGTGTTCGCTTGCAGATCATTACACCGCCGAACTTGCAAATCAATCAATCTGCTGCGCACTACTGCTACGCGCTTGATTTCAAGTCCGATGTCACTCGCTGCCAGCAGAACGAAAGACCTGTGGCGATATATGTAAATGAATCGCTACCTCAGGGCTAGCCGGATTCCGAAGAGCAAAAGAGAACTCTATGAAAATCAATCAATAAAAAAACACTCTTGTCAACTGTATGCGTTGGGAGTAACCTAAAGATTTGTGTTTAGAGGCTGTCTGATCGGGGATCACGTGGTAGGCACAGCAATGATGTAATGAGTACCGTCCCCGGCACTTCGCCGCCGCACCAGCTTTCTAGTCGCCACCGCCAACCTCGCGTGATTGGCCATACGTATTGTGTTGCTTCCTGGACCGAGCCGGCGCCACGAACATTAACCTTTATAGAATAGATTGCGCACCCGTGGCACGTTTTTCTTGGATTGGCCTGCGAAAGTGATCGTGATATAGATGGTGATATACCTTTTACGACGACGGGATCTTTAGAACTTTCTTGGGTCAGCGGATACAAAAATGGTGAGTTGTTTCGCCCGCGTTCAATCGATTGGATTTTTAAGATTGTTTTGTTCCCCTTGGCTTGAATCTGGGATTAAAAAATATTTCCTGGCAGACGATTAGTCAAAGACAAGGTTCCAGCACTGCGCCGCCGCAGCCAACCGAGACACCCCAGGAAACCTCTCAGGCTCCCGAAAGTAGCTCATCCGCCGAGACGCGTACGACTCCTACTCGCACGGTCTCCGCATCTCAAACATCGCCCAACACTTCGTCTGAAGAGCAGACTAGTTCGCGCCAGCAGAGCACCACCGATGATGCGACTACAACCTCTGCTAGGTGAGTATCCAACCTATGCTTTGTGGGAAAGCACAGACAGACGTGTTGTTGATAGGGAGACCACGACTTCGTCTTCGAATATTAACAGTTCTACTTCGCCCATATCAACCAGTGATCAACCAACTTCGACTCGAGACCCACAAACATCTTCGGGACAATCTCAGACTTCTGAGGCTTCTATATCGCAAACCCCGACTGAAAGCGCAACAACTCCTACGCCATCTGCTACGGATAGCGCCACGTCGCGAGGTAAGCAATCGATATTCCTCGTTTGCATGTTATTTCGTTATCACCACATTCTTCATATCAATGTTAAACTATTCCAGGTTTTTCCTCTTCTGCCGCGCCTCTTAGTACCGTTTTGTCAGTATCCGATACCCCAACCCCAATCCCCACGCTTACACCGTCTCCTTCACTTCCTACTAGTCAAAGTCCGTTACCAACCTTCACCACAGAAACTGCAGGTAGCTCAAACACCCCACGCTCGACGGCTATATCAAGGAGTACTCTTAATCCCACTATCACCACTGCTCCACTCCCAAGCTCAAGTCCAAGTTCTGAAGCTGGAACCTCATCTAGCCTAACCAGTATTGTAATCACCGTTGTATCCGATATCAATGGCGTACCTACCACGGTAAGTTTATTTAGCTCATATTATTATAACTTCGCAGCCTAAACCACTGCATCTAGTTCACGACCGTCGTCCCTACTCTTGCAACATCGCCCAACAGGTCGTCGGGGCTCTCGGCGCGAACGACCAGCATAGTTGGAGGTGTTATTGGCGGAACCTTAGCCTTGCTTGGGATCCTGCTTGCTTTGTTTTACATCAGTAGGCGTAGGCGAAAGGTTGCGGCTACGCGAAATAATCCTCGTCTCCAAGCGCCTCGCCAGATATTGGACACAGACGACTTTGATTTGGCGGAACCCCCAGGACCAGCTCCTTACGCCTACGGTGTTGTCGGCGCGCGCGTCAATCCTAATGCTAGTGGTAGCATTTTCCACGAAGATCTTCCTGGAACTGCTGCACATCATTCGCACACCCACTCTCGTAGTGTGGTTAGTGAAAACGATCCACTTTTGGTTCAGCATATGCACGGCGGTTACCCTGACGCTGAAAGTATTGCAACTACATCTCCACGCGAGTCTGCTCATTTCCGTGCCTCGTCTACAACTGGCCTACTTTACGATCCGAGCGACCCGTTCGGCGACGGACGTTCAGATGGTAGCACTAGCTTGAGGGGGAATCCAATAGCATTGGCGAAAGCACGAGAAGCGCGATCCCGAGTTCCAGATCCCCACGCATACCCCCCTTCGTCTTATCACGGTCCACATCCTGATCAAGTGTTTCCTATGCATCCTGTCGGCTCTGGCGTGCTGGTTCACCGAGATGCTGGCCGGGTGGATGCATCCAACATTGGGGAGATTCCACCAAGCTACGCAAGCACAGGTCGTCCGAATCGTAGCCCGTAATTCCTTCTTCTCTCGGTTTTGGTTGAAGATAGTGTTGGGTTGAAGCAAGATATTCGTAAACTTAACAACATGGACTTACTATCTATGAAACGTTGATGTATGCTCGTATAATTGCATAGAGATGTTAATGGCTTTCCTCACGCTTCAGCTGACATCAGCATATTCAAATAAATTTAGACCGCAACTTGTTTTCTACGATCAGCACCAACCAAATTCTTTTTGACAACAGATAACTAGTCAGCTCTAAAAACCATCACCTAGGCTGAAATGGCTTTGCCTGGTGCGCGGGTATGCTGTAGGAAATTGTCGAGCTTGGGTATTTTTGGGCGACCCTTCTCCAGTAGTGTCGTATCCTACACTTCGACATCTGCTGCTGTTGAGCTCAGAGAAGAGCTCCCGAACACGAGTCACAACCAGCTACTGACAGTACAAACGCATACTGGAATTGGCAACATGGGTCACGCTTTGCATATTCTCAGGGCTATAGAGAAGGAATATGGGCCTATAGAATCTTACTTATTTCCTCGAGTGAGTCTCTGCTAAAGGCTTTATTTTGCCTACTGGACCCTTCTGTGTAAGGAACCAGGCTCCGGGGATTACCTTCCCAATTTTTTCTTCAAATTCCGCAATGTGCAGTCACTGTACAAGTTGTCGAAGCCGTACACTCATCTGGATGTTCCTGCATTTCTGCCACAACTCGAACCAAATCATGCGATTGGACTAGAAGATATACACACACTGGTTTCACCTGCAACTTTCCCACCACTAGAAGGCAATAAACTATCGCTCTCCGCAACCGTGAGAT